TCACGAAGTCCCTTCTCTCCAGATGTGTGTGTGTGTGTGTGTGTGTTTGTGTGTGTGTGTGTGTGTGTGTGTGTGTGTGTGTGTGTGTGTGTGTGTGTGTGTGTGTGTGTGTGTGTGTGTGTGTGTGTGTGTGTGTGTGTACTCACTTAGTTGTGCTTGCGGGGGTTGAGCTCTGGCTCTTTGGTCCCGCCTCTCTACCGTCAATCAACTAGTGTTCAGATTCCTGAGCATACTGGGCTCTGTCATATCTACATTTAAAACTGTGTATGGAGTCAACCTCCACCACATCACTGCCTAATGCATTCCACCTGTTAACTACTCAGACACTGAAAAATTCTTTATGACGTCCCTGTGGCTCTTTTGGGTACTCAGTCTCCACCTGTGTCCCCTTGTTCGCGTACCACCAGTGTTAAACATGTCAATTCCTCTGATAATTTTGTAGGTAGTGATCATGTCTCCCCTTACTTTTCTGCCTTCCAGTGTCGTGAGGTGCACTTCTGATAATTTTGTAGGTAGTGATCATGTCTCCCCTTACTTTTCTGTTTTCCAGTGTCGTTAGTTAGTTTAGTTCATTTATTATGCACCCCATACCCATCTTGTGGGCGGTAGTGGAAAGGGTTACAGAGGCACATAATGGGCTCAGGGACTGAACCCCACAATTCATTTAGCTAAGCAAGTTACAATCTTGATGAGCTAGTTACAAAATTCAATATATGTCGTCACATCAACAATGGGTTCGAGATCGACCTTAAGTACAGGTTCTAAATTAAGCAACTGACATATGTGGAGAGCTAGTGTCACAATTGATATGTTTGTCCTGCACACCGCCCCCTATCCAGTGGGCAGCGGTGGATAGGTTACAATCACTTAGTTACTACCTACAGTTAGCAAACTGGGGATATTTCGCTAAAATTTCTGGTAGCAGATAATTTTGAATGAAATATTGACACATCGCTGGAACATTGGTTATAGAATTGTCTCTAAATTCACGTATCTTTTCGCACTCCATTACATAGTGACAGAGGGTGTGCGAATAATTTTGTTGACACAGTTTACATTTGGTCAGGTCTACATCAGCAGATAATGAGAACTCCCAGAGATACTTGTAACCGAGTCTAAGCCGAGCAGTAGTAACATCTAGAAGTCTGCTAATTTTATTGGATGATCCATGGATGTGTGGCTCCTCTTGCATGATAGTATGATGATAGATGGAATTACTGGTGTCGATTTCACTTTGCCTCAGATCTACAGTGTCGTGAGGTGCATTTCACGCAGCCTTTCCTCGTAACTCGTGCCACTTAGTTCTGGGACTAGTCTAGTGGCATACCTCTGAACTTTTTCCAGCTTCGTCTTGTGCTTGACAAGGTACGGGCTCTATGCTGGGGCCGCATACTCCAGGATTGGTCTTACATATGCGGTATACAAGTTTCTGAATTATTCCTGACACAGGTTCCTGAAGGCTGTTCTGATGTTAGCCAGTCTTGTATATGCCGCAGATGTAATTCTGTTTATGTGGGCTTCAGGAGACAGGTTTGGTGTGATATCAACTCCTAGATCTTTCTCTCTGTCCATTTCATGAAGGACTTCATCTCCTATTCAGTATCCTGTGTCTGGCCTCCTGTTTCCACCGCCTAGTTTCATTACTTACATTTACTCGGGTTGAACTTTAATAGCTATTTGTTGGACCATTCATTCAGTCTGTCTAGGTCTTCTTGTAGCCTCTTACTGTCTTCATCTGTTTTAATCCTCTTCATAATTTTCGCATTATCAGCAAACAATGAGAGGAACGATTCTATACCCTCTGGGAGATCTTTTAAATATATCAGAAACAGTATAGGTCCAAGGACTGACCCCTGCGGGACTCCACTTGTAACGTCTCGCCAATCTGAGACTTCACCTTTCACAGTGACTCACTGTCTTCTATTGCTTAGGTACTCTCTTATCCAATGAAGTACCTTCCATTTCACTCCAGCCTGCATCTCCAGCTTTTGCTCTAGCTTCGTGTGTGGTACTCTGTCAAAGGCTTTCTGGCAATCCAAAAATATGCAGTCTGCTCACCCCTTTCTTTCATGCCTGAGTTTTGTTGCCTGGTCGTAGAATTCAGTTAATCCTGTGAGGCAGGACTTGCCATCCCTGAACCCATGTTGATGCTGTGTTACAAAGTTCTTCCACTCCAGATGTTCCACTAGCTTTTTTCGCACAATCTTCTCCATCAGCTTGCATGGTATGCAGGTTAGGAACACTGGCCTGTAGTTCAGTGCCTCTTGCCTATTCCCCTGCTTGTATATCGGGACTACATTAGCCGTCTTCCAAATTTTTGGCAGTTCCCCTGTTGCAAGTGATTTGTTATACACTATGGAGAGTGGTAGGCACAGTTCTTCTGCTCTTTCCTTCAGTATCTATGGGGAGATTCCATCTGGGCCTATAGACTTTGTCACATCCAACGCTAGCAAAAGCTTTCTTACATCCCCACTGGTAATCTCAAACTCTTCTAGTGGTGCCTGATTAACTATTCCCTCTACACAACTCCACGGTCCTTGTGGATTTGTTCTATTCCCTCTATTATTTCTGGAACTCCTCATTGCTCTAAGGTGAAAACCTCCTGGAATTTCTTATTCAGTTCCTCGCACACTTCCTTATCGTTTATAATGAATCTGCTTCTATCCTCAATGTCATTACCTGTTGTTTTTCTCCTGATGTGACTGTGCAGCAATTTAGGTTGAGTCTTTGCCTTGCTTGCGATGTCATTTTCGTATTACCCTTCTGCCTCTCTTCTCAACCTGACAATCATTTCTAGCGCTCTGGTATTTCTCTGCTCTCAAGAGTCCTGTTATTTCTATAGTTTCTCCACGGCCTTTTACTTTGCCACTAAGCTAGCCTACATCTCTGGTTAAACCATGGGTTTCTCATCTGCATTTCGTTATTTTCCTTTTGGACTGGGACAAACTTGTCTGCTGCCTCCTTACACTTCTGCGTGATGTAGTCCATCATGTCTTGGGCCGGGTTTCCCCTGAACTCTGTTTCCCATGTTATATCTGTTAGGAATTTTCTTATCTCCTCATAGTTTCCCTTTCGGAATGCCAGCCTTCCCTTTTCGGAATGCCAGAGGTTCCCTGACATGCTGGCTTAAGAAGTTTGTTGTCTCTACCTCCAATAGTTTAGCTCTCCATGTATCCTCACCTCCATGCAGTTCCTTGTTCTCCCAGTCGATCCTTCCCTGATTGAAGTCCTCTACAATGAGCAGATGGGATCTATTTCTACAAGCAACAGAGGCTGCCCTCTCATTTATAGTGTTAACTGCCATGTTATTGTTGTCATACTCTTGCCTGGGTCTTCTGTCATTTGGTGGAGGGTTATATAACACTGCTACTACTATTCTTGGTCCTCCCATCGTCTTTGTGCCTGTTATGTAGTCTCTGAATCCCTTGCAGCCCGGGATAACCATCTCCTTGAAACTCCATTCCTTTCTTATTTGTAGGGCCACTCTGCCTCCTCCCCTTCCTTCCCTCTCATTCCTTATTACAGTGTAGTCCTGGGGTAGCATAACATTCATTATGATTCCTGCGAGTTTTGTTTCTGTGAGTCCGATTACATCTGGGTTCACTTCTTGTGCTCTTTCTTTTAGTTCACTTGCCTTGCTGTAATCCCATCTATGTCCGAGTACATCACCTTAAAACTGACTCTTCTGTCCTTCCTCAGTTTCTGTTCATTCCCCTAAAGCAGGGAAACAGGGAGACACCGGGATGGGAGGGCCTAGGAAGGAGGACCTGGGGTATCTGGGGTGTGAGGGTGCTGGGAGGATCTGGCATGGGGAGGGTGGTGGAGGAGGAAGGGCTTGGGGGGGGGGAGGGGGATGCTTGAGGGGGTGAGAGGGCGAGGCTTGGCGGATGGGGGAGAAGGGAGAGCTTGATGGGGCGGGAGACGAGGGAGGGCTTGGGGAGGCAGAAGAGGAGGGAGGGGTTGGGCTGTGGGGGAAGGGAGGGCTTAGCGGGAAAGGAAAAATGGAGGGCTTAGGTGGAGTCGGGGAGAAGGGAGGTCTTAGGGGTGGGGGAGAAGAGAGGGCTTGGGTGGGGGAGAAGAGAAGGCTTGGGTGAGTGGGGAGGTGGAAAGGAAGGCCTAGGGGGGTGGGGAAGAAGGGAGGGCTTGGGGGGGGGGGAAGATGGGAGGTCCTGGGAAGAGGGGGGGTTGGGGGAGGGTGCCCAAGATGGGCACTTAGTGAGGTGATGGCAAGGGTTGGGGCAGGTAGTACGTCTATTGTGTGGAAGGTGCAGGTGGTGCTCCTCTCACTGTGTTGAACTGCTTGTGGAGGGTTCCCCACTCCCCTCTGGGATTGTAGGGTTCGGGGTTGTGCCTCCCTGATTCCTTTCTTTCTCCCTGCGCTCCTTCCTCACGGCTGCTGCACTCATTCACCTTGTCTTATCCCTCGGCAGGAATAATTTTGTTGAACTTCAGTACATTTACTAGTCCACTCTTCCTTGCTAACAGGTCCTCTTTTGTGTTCTCGCTCGTGAACAAATGAGAATCACATTTACATGTATGAGCGCGTCAGTGTGTGTGTGTGCATGTGTGTGTGTGTGTGTTTGCGAGTGTGCTTATGTTGTACACAGCGAGTCATGAGTGTATGTGATCCCTGAGGTAATCTTACTCCGCAAAGCCCTATCCCCTCTGGTTTGACTCTTCGTTTAAGGAGTCCAGTCGAGATTGTCAATCTAACTGAATGTTTGGTTATGGCGTAAAATTTTTTACTCTGTCCTCATTATATTGTTTAGTTAATGAGGTATGTTTGATAAATATTTGCATACAACAAATCCATTTATTTAAAATCAAGAAATTATTAAATGTATCATTCACATTCATCACTAAAGGTAAACTCTGTGATCCGAACTGATAATTACACTACAACAAATCAGGACTTATAGAAAGTATAATTGGTGATGTACATATGATGTAACGTTACAGGTACAAGGGGAACTGAAGTACATGTGAACTAATACTTGCAGGTACCCAGGTACACATCTCGGGGGCTGAGGAACGGTACATCCAGGAGGGCAGCGTGCTGGCGGTGACCTGTACCGTCGCCCACCACCACATGAAGGGTCCTCACGCCGTGGTGTGGTACCAGGGCGCCCGCAGACTGGACTACGATGCTCCGAGAGGCGGAATAGCTCTCCAGGTCTGTACCTCATGTGTGTATGGCAGGTGTGTATGTGTGTGTGTGTGTGTATGTGTGTGTGTGTGTGTATGGCACGTGTGTGTGTGTGTGTGGCAGGTGTGTGTGTGTGTGTGTGTGTGTATGGCACGTGTGTGTGTGTGTGGTCAGCCACCTATGTGTCCTGGTTCTTGGATGTATCCCACATATGCAGGTGTGTCCTCTCTCACTGCCAAAGGTCCTCTTGCAGTTGCTGGTTCTCTCTAGGTCGTAGACGAGACTTAACAAGCTTTATATCTCCAGCGGAAAATGTTTCCTCCTGTACCATAAAAACATTAGTTTTCCTCCGCGGCAGATAATGAATTGGTCACGCCAGATGTCAATTATTTACCCGTGTAGTGTGACTGGAGTGCTCCTGTGGAGTACACCATGAAGACGAGGGCACCCTTGAGCATTGTAAGGGAACTGCTCCTGTGGAACATCTGCTTCAGTGACACCATAGTTCCTACCCGAAGCCGGCGCCCATGTTAATGTGTGAACGCTGACGCCTCTGGAGACAATATGACGAGAATCACATTGATAATAAACTTAAAACTCTTGATCGTGAGGACGAGGGAGGCCAGCTATTGTTGCCTCAAGTTAAGACCCAACTGAAGACTACTTCAAGGAGACGCCAAATATATCATATCTCATAAGACTAGACAAAAAAACGCTAAATATGCAACCCGTCAATTACCACAATGGTAATTGTGGTAATTGACAAACATGTTGCCTCCAAAGGCACTAGGAAACTCTGGCTTGTCTAAGGAGAGTAATGCATCACCTAAATGTATAATACTCTGCAACAAACCAATTTTTTAATACAACACCACAACCACTAGTTTCGAAATCCTGCCTCAGTGTTATTGAAAGTTGGTTGTTCATAGTTCATGATAGAGTTGTTCATCTGGTTAGAGGCATCGTTAATGTGTTTGACCCCATAACATATACTTTCAGAGTCTCTTCTCACCATTCCTTTCCCCCGTCCCATCCTAAATCCTTCTCCTGACCCCTTCCCAGTGCTGTATAGTCGTAATGGCTTGGCGCTTTCTCTTGATTGTTCCCTTCCCTTCCTCACACAGTAGAGATGTGACTGGTGTGTGTGTGTGTGTGTGTGTGTGTGTGTGTGTGTGTGTGTGTGTGTGTGTGTGTGTGTGTGTGTGTGTGTGTGTGTGTGTGTATGTGTGTGTGTGTGTGTGTGTGTGTGTGTGTGTGTGTGTATGTGTGTGTGTGTACTCATCGAGCTGTACTCACCTAGTTGTACTTGCGGGGGTTGAGTTCTGGCTCTTTGGTCCCGCCTCTCAACCGTCAATCAACAGGTGTACAGGTTCCTGAGCCTATTGGGCTCTATCATATCCACACTTGAAACTGTGTATGGAGTCAGCCTCCACCACATTACTTCCTAATGCATTCCATTTGTCAACCACTCTGACACTAAAAAAGTTCTTTCTAATATCTCTGTGGCTCATTTGGGCACTCAGTTTCCACCTGTGTCCCCTTGTACGTGTGTCCCTTGTGTTAAATAGTTTGTCTTTATCAACCCTGTCGATTCCCTTGAGAATCTTGAATGTGGTGATCATGTCCCCCCTAACTCTTCTGTCTTCCAACGAAGTGAGGTTTAATTCCCGTAGTCTCTCCTCGTAGCTCATACCTCTCAGCTCGGGTACTAGTCTGGTGGCAAACCTTTGAACCTTTTCCAGTTTAGTCTTATGCTTGACTACCTTGGTTACCTTGAGGTTACCTTGAGGTGCTTCCGGGGCTCAGTGTCCCCGCGGCCCGGTTGTCGACCAGGCCTCCTGGTTGCTGGACTGATCAACCAGGCTGTTAAGACGCGGCTGCTCACAGCCTGACGTATGAGTCACAGCCTGGTTGATCAGGTATCCTTTTTAGGTGCTTATCCAGTTCTCTGTTGAACACTGAGGGGTCGGCCAGTTATGCCCCTTATGTGTAGTGGAAGCGTGTTGAACAGTCTCGGGCCTCTGATGTTGATAGAGTTCTCTCTCAGAGTACCAGTTGCACCTCTGCTTTTCAACGGGGGTATTCTGCACATCCTACCATGTCTTCTGGTCTCATGTGATGTTATTTCTGTGTGCAGGTTTGGGACCAGCCCCTCAATTATTTTCCACGTGTAAATTATTATGTATCTCTCCCGCCTGCGCTCAAGGGAGTACAGATTTAGGCTCTTTAGTCGGTCCCAATAGTTTAAATGTTTTACTGTGTGGATTCTAGCAGTAGATATGGACTAGACTAGATATGGACTCCATGCTGGAGCCGCATACTCCAGGATTTTTCTGACATATGTGGTATATAAT